ATAAAATAACAACTTAATAGGCAAGAATTCATAATAACTGGAAAATTTTGAATAGACTACAGCTATGAAAACATGGTTGAAAATAATCCTCAATAAGACGTATACTGAATTTGAAAATTTTGCCAGAGAGATCTGAAATTGTGATCTGGACAATGGAAAAATGGTCAATGGAGAGATTAAAACTTATATTAAGCCCAGTTCACTTTCGCAAAAACTGTAGCATGGATGGCCAGGCTCAGATAGATCTTTCTCTTCCAGTCTGTGAGAATGTAACTGTGAAGACAAAGCTAGATTTACTGAAATTACTGAGCTTGCATTGGTGCTCAAGAAGCAGTTATAACAAATAATGTAGCAATTACTAGTAACACACCCATCATTATAATGGGAAAGCATGCAATAGGCTCACATCTTGCAAGTACAATATATCTCTATGGTATTCCTCTAAATGGAGGCCTGGCCAATCAGCAGGGCTACACTCTGCTCCTATCTAAGGAGTTTCTCAAGTACAGAACACTTCTTTACTTTTTCGTAAGAGAGTGAATTGTAGTTACTGAAGAGATACACTTGAGATGTTTGTAGGCTGTTGCTGCAAACTGGAAGCTGTTTGCACATGTGTACCAGGCTATTATGTGTATTTCTAGCTAAAAATATGAAATGAAATATTGTAGTAAAAAATAAGAATTTTGGAGCAAGGAAATGTGAGCTAAGAAAGCTGATTTTTCTTATAATCTAGCTTTATCATACTGACTATATAAACATCAATATGTATGATGTAATTCATAATTAAGATTTAAAATGATATACTATTAAAATAAAACCTGATGGTCTAAAGTTTTATATAATCTACAACTCTAAAACAATCAAATTACTGTAATTTAAAATTTTTTAATTGCTGATGTACTGTTTACAACATAACTTTATGAGGATGTTTTTACAGATTCCCATAAACAGTTTTGCATTCATAACTGAAATGCATAATAATGTAAACTGTTTTCCTGCCATCCATTAAGTGTTCTTCTTCTCCTAGTTTTCCTCTGCATCTAGTACTGACTGCACTTTTCCTAATTTTTTCTTTGAATATGTGTGAAGGCTACAACAGAAATGTCTTAATGTTAAATGACTGATGAGCTGAAAGCGCCTTGTTTGTTCTTCCAAACAAGGCTATTATCATGCCATCCCATTGCCTCATTCAGCATCTTTTACTGAGGATCTAGAGAATTACTTCTTGTATTCAGAAACCCTCTTGTATTCTCCTACCACTTTTTCCATCTTTTTAAATGTTAACTGGGAAGAGAAACATACAAATAAAACTTGCACAATGCCTTTTCATTAATAATACTATGGCACTTCACCTGGATGTGCCCTTACATTCCTGGATGTATACAACACAAAATTAAAAGAAGGCTATCAATGGATCAAAAGGAATAAATAGTGTTCAGAAGGTAAAAATATGATAACTTGCTTCTGATCATTCTTTGTAGCTAATTACAGTCTTCATTCAGGACCTCCTCAATGTGCATAGTCAGTTTGGGGCCTCTTAAACACAATGTACCGCATACTCTATTTACCTAAAGTTAAGCACTTTTCCCCATGTAACTTAAAAGTACTTAACTTCAATTTGATCACGGCATTTGCTATTAATAGAAGAACTGATGAGGCTTTACCAAACAAATCTATTTACTCATTTGTGAATTCTTTTAAATTCTGCAGTGTACAAAATGCAAGTGGCTTCTGGTTTGCATTGTTAAATGTTCAGATGCCAAGTTATGTCTGAGGGGACGGAACTATTAAAATGTAAATCATGCTGAACATTTTTGGTAGGAATTGGACAGAACATGAAAGAAGCATGAAGTACATGAATTTTTATTCATATGACAGGAGCATTAAAAGGCAAACTTACAAATGAGTAAGACTGGTAGTTAATACGTGTTTCAGAAATGGTTATCTGAACTCAGTCTTACCTGACTTCGTAGCCTGTTTCAAATGCTGAAGGCTCTAGATTTGTCTGCCACTGAAGTGGCTCTTTAAAGACAAAGGCAGCTTCTTGAGGATGCTTGTTGCTAAAGTTTTCCATAAACTTAATTATTTCATTCAAGATAGATTCATTGAGTGGCGTGATTTCTAGTGTACCGGTTCCAGAACCAGCAGCAGTCCATTGTGCTGCCCGTGTCAGTGCCACTCCCATGGCACAGGCTCATCTCAAGGTCATATACCTGTGCAAATAGATATGAACAACAAAAGCTTTACAATTCCAAACAGTATATTTTTATAAATATAAGACTGCATTAATGTTAGTTTAATGTATTCCAGTCATCTCAGTGGGTATATGCTATGCAGGTCTAACATTGGATACAACATACATGTTGTTTAAACAGTTTATGTTGTATTCCACTTCAAAATAATATAAAATTTAATGTACATAAAAGTAGAGAATGAATGCACAACAGCTTCACATTTACCCGCTGACTAAACTCTTCACCAGATGCAGATATATTCATCTGACAAATGTTAATATACAACTATAAAGAAATTAAGAAATGTTGCATTCTGATAGCGAAAATACATTTTTTTGGAACCCTCTATCCTTTGTTCACTTTTTGCAAAATTTGGGCATAATGATTTTTTATGTTGCTTCTGTGGTGTTCAGGACTGGTAGGTAATGTGTTACTTTAAAGAGCATTTATTGATCTAAATATTTAGATGCAAACTATAATTGAGAAATGTCTTGGTGTCTTGTCTTTATTCATAATACTTTATTACAAGTGACTCTGGTTGCATAGCAATGAATCTTGCTGTCATTTCTAAGGTGGCATTCAAATGGACCTCTTTCAAACAAAATTCTCAAAATGGCTTGGGGTACAGTTGCATGGCCTATAGATCCTGTTTAGATTGCCACAGGCGAATTCAGTCCCAGTCCTGACCTCAGAATGCCTTCCTTCTGTAGCCAGGATAGAAAGAATGGCACTTGGCTGTGGCTCGTAGGTCACAAGTGCAGCCTCAGAGGCAGCATTTTCTGGGTGTTCCAGGCGGGGAGACAGGGAAGGAAAGGCTCAGGCTCTGCCACCATGACACATACGGGCAGCACATCTGCTTCCAATCCTTGTGTTCCAGGACAGGGGACTTAAGATGGCTGGAAATGGCAATTCCTTTGGGGGGCAAGAGATGCATGAAGGAAAACTTTGCCTGTGCACTCCTTATGTGCTTCCTTGGATGCCCATAACCGTCTGAATTCAGAGCATTAGAAGCAGCCACACTGCACTGCCCTGATTGTATTTTACAAATTCTGGAGCACCAGTCCTACAGGTTCCTTAGAATATTCATAACTGTTTAGAAGAGGATTTTTTTTGCAGTGACACCTTTTATCAGCTCTGCTTGTTTAAGTTGTATCTGGTGAAATTTTCTTCCTCTCCACAGTTATTAAATATGCAGGAAGCCTGGTTTTATTTACATCTACTACTTCCCACTAGTCCACAAGAAAATGTGGACTGCCATTCCACTCTTCCTGATTCTCCTTCCCCAAAAACTATGCAGTGCAGGAGCAGGTGGTTGTAATTAGCCCAGAACAGTCCATTACTGCTGCTGTACTAACACCTGTGCAGGACCAAATACCTGTCCAGCTGAGAGGCATGAAAAAGCCAAGGTAACTGACAGGGAATATATACCTCTGGATATCATTGTCATTATCGCACCTATTAATCTTTTGCAAAGTCAGAAAGATTGGTCAAGTTATTTTGGCATCTGGGGCAGAAAGTCCCCACAAGTCTCTCTTACTTGGCACAAAAATAGGTAGACACCTAAGAGCAGCCCTGCAGGATAGCAATGAAGCTGTCAACAGTGAGTCTGCAAGGAGTCCACAAGCAGGACAGGAGTGCAACAGCACCCTCTCACTCAGGTATTTTTGGAATTGGTAGGAAGAGACAGTTCTTTTGCCTCTTACAGCTGGAGCAACAGATAGCCATCACGACAAGTAGCCATTCAGCTGAAAGAATGATACACTAAAGGCGCAACTGTATGCATGCTAAGGGGGTGTGCTGGGGACCCCAGGGCTTTTTTCTGCCTAAACACACGCAAGCATTGCGCCCGCATACCTGAATGAAGCTGCCTGCGGCAACTACTTCACCCAAACTAACAGTTCGACTGGCCCAGCACTGGTGGGTCGTGGGTCTGAACAGACTACAGACTCACGGAGACTATTGGTCTAAAGTACAGGACAGCCTTCTTCAGTCTGGTGCGAACCGATGCTGATAGTGATAGCCCAACACATCTGCAGGGCAGCAGCTTGGGGAAATTTATTAATAAATACTTTATTTATGTTATACTTTTATGTATTTTATTTGTGTAAGCCGTCCTGAGGCTCTCGCAAAGGACGACATACAAATATCTTAAATAAATAAAATAAAGCTGCTGCTACAAGGAACGGCGCCTGGAGCCCTGTTGGGTCTGACTCCCTCAAACCCCCTCCCATTGTCGTTGGCTAGGGAAAGAGGTTCAGCACCCTGCTTGCGGACCCCCGACTCAAACACTGTCTCCATTAAGAGGAGAAAAGTAAGACGAGTTTTCATTACCGGAGAGGAAGCGGTACCCTTCCGCTATGAACCCTATGAAATCCCGGAGGTCTCCATCAGAGAAAGCACGATAGACGCCCCCTAAATGCGGGGCCGACCACCCACCGTGGGAAGCTTCTTTGTATCCCCTCGTCCCTTGACAAACCGAGCACCTCCGCAGCCCTCCCGTGTAATCCTCAGAAATGCTGCCGCCTCAGAAGAAGCACGGCACGGTTGCCATGGAGACGGGCCGGCCGGAACCTTCAGTCGCTAGGCGCCTCTCCCCGCCCCTCCGCCGAGCTACATTCCCCGCCATCCATTGGCTGCTTGCGATTTCCCACCCCTCCGCTAGGGCGAAACGCTTGGCAACGAGTCTCGCCGGCAACGTTGCCTTCCGCCACAGGCGGCCTGAGCTGTCAGTCATCTCACCTCCGCCCCCACCAGTGCTCACAGAGCGCCGCCTTTGCAGATTGCCTAGCTGGTAGCCCTCCCATGAAACCACGCCGAGATCTTCAGGTGCAACTATGTCCCGGGCTGGCCGTGCACTACGACCCCTGAAGGGCATCGGGTTGGGGAAGGCTGGGCTAAGCATCTGTGTTCATGAACATCACGCGGAGAAAAAGGGGTCCGTCTGCACGAAATGCACCGTTCATCTGCAGAGCGTAAGCTGCCGAAGATCCATTAGTAGCTTATAGTTAGGTTTTGCATGGCTGCAGCGCAAGAGTTACCTACCGATTACAATTTCTCTACTTTTGAGCCATACATAATATAATTGCTTTTATCAAGCCATTTAAAACATCTTTGATAGTACAAAGTTGTACAATTTTCTAAACATCGTCCAACAATATTAATTTGGGACATGGGAAAATATCTTGGCGTTTGATCTTTTTAATCTACTCCACCTTTTGCCAACAGTCTTAAATACACATGACCACCATATATGCTTAAAGGAGTGCCTCTGTCGCATCCTTGCAAACCGACCCCATTACCCTTTTTAGAAATGTGTTGAATTTGCATAGATATTCAGCAGCACCTGCTCATCTTATAAATTAACTTCCTTGAGAGAAGGCTTGAATGCGTGTATTTTTCTGCCATGTGTCTTCCCAATTTCTAAATACTGCTTTCAGTTTAACATATATTTTCTTTTTAACATATGCAGCGAAACTGACTTCTACAATTCTGAAATCAGCTCTTTGCAAATCCTTAAACCTAATCAAATCTGTATATACTTTGTTTTAAAGTATGTGATACATTACAAAATGCCACAAATTGCAAATATTAAAACCATGAAGCAGAATGGTTTTCATTTTACTAGTTCTTTTCTCATATATTACACCTTAAAACTGATGAATAACATCTCGACAGTTCTCTAATCCATATCTGCTTCAAATCTTGTCAGATTTTCCCTTTGAGAAATTCCAGGCACCAATACAAATTTCCTTCTTTCCTAATACTTGAAGTATCTCCCCAGGGTGAGACATAACTTATGTCCCTTTGTTTTCTACCTGACCAAAAACATTGAAATTTGTTCTTCGTTGTTTCTTTCAAATTCACTACGGTGCTTCTATGGATTACTGTTCATGTTGTATCTTAATATATATTTGACTTGCAAATTCCCCCTTACCTGTTAGTTACCGTTTTCCAACTCACTGCTATTCAGGAGTGTTGTAGCACAACTTCTGTCCTTCCGTATCCTAGTAAGTGTTAATGCATACCTAGAAATAAATGCCCACATTATTCTAATAAATACTTTAGTTTTGTGGATAAAGGAACCCAGTAGTGGCAATCAATACATGGATTGTGAAGGCAGAATGCCAGCAGGATGGGTGTGAGCCTAATGTAATGTGTTCCTGGCTGTTAGGAAACAAGTGTGCATGCCCCTTGAAGCTATGGATGTTGACCTGGAAAAGCTAAGACAGGCAGAGAAGCTGATGAATGAGACCTTGGGCAGCGCAATGGTTGTGTCTTGGTCCCTGGGAGACACTCCACTGCTGTCACAGAGAATGGGGGTCTCAGGGGAAGAGTGTGTCATCCTGAGGAAGAAGGAAGCAATGCCCTAGAAAAGGTCAATTCCTTGGAAGATGAGCAAATATTCTCTTGCAGTGCAGGTGTGCATCTGTGTACACCACGTGGTGTACATGCGCTATCTTGCATGCACTATCTAAGCGGCTTTGTTGTTAGTGCTGGGGTGGAGTTAGTGGTCATGGTCTTTCTTAATATCAAGTGTAGCACATGTTTGCTGCTTAGTCATAAAAAGGCAGAAGTGTTTCTTTTAGAAAAGTTGGAACTGAGCAGCATGCTCCAGGTCTTTGCTTTTGGATGCGGTTCCATGATGGTTGCCAAAACAAGAACTGTACCAAGAAATAAACTGCATCAAGAAATAAACCAGTTATTGTTTCAACTTACTGATGGTGATGTAGGGAAATGTAATTATGTGCTCTTAGAAGGTAAATTTAGTTCTTTAGACAGAAGATTGGAATCCAGCAGCACCAATATGGCTTTCTCTGAATGCTACCTGTTCTGCGTAGAGGGCCAGCAAGAGAGGCAAAGCTGAGGAGTCTCACTGCATGGGTGGGATTGTGATGCAGGAAGGAGGGGACCCGATTTGTGAGGAGTTGGGGAAAATTTTGGGATAAACCAGACCTACACAAAAGGGATGAGTCCAATCCAAAATGAAGACAGTTTGCTGGAGCAAAACATTAAAAAGTTGGCAGAGCTACTTTTGAACTGAACCCTGGGAGTAAAGCTGCTATCCAGTTTGGGCTGAATCATCCCTAGGGATAAATATGAAAATGTTTCCCATGCATAAATGGAAAAGCAGAGGAAACAGGCCATGAGTATATGGTGAAACAGTCAAAGAGGCCTAAGAACCATGGTGGAAGAGGCACACCAGAGACATCTTGGAAGGGACCCCACATGTAGATGTTTCTATGAAAGTACTAGAAGCCTCTAAGCCAAAATGGGAGAGTCGGTGTGCCAAGTTTAAAAGCAGAACCTTTAGTAAGCAATATGGAAACCTGGTGGATGGGTGTACTGGAGGAAGTATTGCTTTGCAGAGCAAAGAAGCCATAGGATGAAGCAGGCCAAAAGGCCTAAAAGGGGCGAACTCCTTTAGAGAAGCACTGTAAAGGACCATACCAGGTGCTAGAACTAATTTAGTACTAGGAACATGTAGCTGCACCCCAGTCCAAAACACTCAGGATGATCTTGAGATGGAAAGTAAAATCAGGGCAGGGGAAGTATTGTAGGGTGACCTCAATTACTCCCTCATTCACCTGATAATGCATGTTGCAGTTTCAACAAAGAGGTTAATTTCTCGATGCTCGAAATGTCTGTGCCTTAGAGCAGTTGTTGATTGAACGAACCAGAGTGAAGGTGACCTCGGAATTGCCCAGTACAAGGCATGAGTGTTGTTGCTAAGTGACCCCAAGCTATATATATTTACTCAAAACCACCGTAATAGAAGCTCAGCTAGAATGTATACCTTAGGTTAGGAAACAGCACCTTGAGATCACCAGCATTCAGAAAGAGCAGAGTCCAGGAATTGATCAGAGGAAGGAGAGCTTCCTTGAGAAAGTGGAACTCTTGCCCAAATGAGGGAATCAAAAGGGAGATGTGAACGTAATAGATACCTTAAAAAGCATTTTGGGGAACGTATAACTAAGAACAAGGGCAACAAATAATTCTTTAAATCTATCAAATGCAGGTAGTTGTGCCACTGGATGATAATGGAGTTACAGGAATATTGAAGGAGGATAAAAAGATTGTGGAGAAGCTGAATGAATTCTTTTCATTGTCTTTACTGAAGAAGTTATTTGACAGGTACTGAATCTATGTTCTCTGAAAGAGAGTCTTGGGCACTTGAAGCAAGCTGTCCTGAGATGTTCTGCTGTAGGCCCTGTTAACACTACAGTCCTGACTCTTGTCTGTTTTTATTCTAGATAAACTCATACGTACTCTAAAACAGAAACAAAATGCCCAGCCATGTGTTACAGACTCTTTTCTGGTCATTGTACCTCAGCCAGCCACCTTTCAATATTATGCAGACATAAGCTGTGCTTGTGAAAGGCCATATGACAATAAATCAGCAGGTCTCCCAACATGCCAAAGTGTCTTTTAAGGATGCAAGTGTGGAGTGAAATCCATTTTATTGCTCACTGTTCTCAGAAGATGACGCGGTTATTGGCATTTAATTTACCAGTACATAGGACACGGCTGAATTCATAGGAATGTTAGACTTGTGTTATTAAAAAGTGCATAGAAGGCAACTCTTTTTCCTTGCTAAGTAAAGAATATCAATTAGCAGCATGCGGTTTAAGTAAACAACTCTTTGCTGGCTCATGACCTGTTTGTGAGTCATTGTGTGCTTGGAGGCACTTAAGTCAGACCCAGAGGCTAATTTGTATATTTTTCTTTGAGGCATTGAGGCAGTGGAACACCACAAGGTCTAACCTCTCTTTTAAAGCAGTCTGTGCAGAGACATGGACCTCAGCTGTAGGTGAACTGGTGTGGTCTGGTGGACTGAAACTTCACAGACCTTCAGAGCTCGGCAGGCACAGGCCAGCCTTGAATAAGCCATGTCTTTTCAGTCTAAGTTCCCCATCTGCCAAATGGGAATAAAAGTATGTTTAATGTTTCTTTTAAAGGAAAATAAGCTAAAAGCCCAGAACATGTTAGCAATTAAGGCTGCTTCAATACATCTGGAGGGCCATAAGATGCCTACCTCTGACATAGATACAGGAAATAAATGATTAAGCATCACTTATTGAAGCAATCTAAATCCACCATATCAAGGGATACTCCTGTTCCTTGTAGCTTCAGATTTCTTTCCCTATGGTGTTCACCATCATTCTCAGTTCAGAGTGTACTATTAAACTCAACAGAACTTGCCTCTGGGAAGACATGCATAAAATTGCATTATAAAATACTGTGCTTTTAAATTTTATTTTTATTAGATATTTAAAGTATATACTTTGGGATGGATTGAGCATATCCCTTGGATGGAAGGGCAGTGTGTACAGAAAATGCCTCCACCACGTTTCCAGGGATCTACCTTCCTCCCCAGCACCCTGCCTCACAGCTCACACTGCAACCCTCTGTAGTATTTCCGGGAGGCTGGAGAGGCTGCCATCTGGAAGATGGCACCCAGAAGTCTGCTTCCAGCAGCCCTGGTGCACATGCCTAACTCTGCATCCAACCCATTCCATAAAAGGCAAAGTGTCACATTGGAAGACAGAAATGCATTTGAAACACATAACTTATTTAATATAATCAGTAAGTTTATTTCTAGTTGCAGTATTTACTTAATGCACTAAATGCACCTTTGAAAATACGTCCTGTTAAAAATTTACAAAGCCTCTCCAACACTAAAAATGGCATGAATGTTTAAGCAATATTCTACATTGCATTCAACCACATACTCAGCTGAGTTTTCCCCCAAGGAAGACATAAATGTTCATTGCATTTTCCGTCTTCACATTCAAAAGAGAATGAACATATCACATTCTTTGGTAGAACTCCTGATCTATTGCAGTGCAAGTGATACTGTGAATCTAAGCTGAACCTTCTAGCTTTATATTGTTGATCATCCACTAGATTTCAGATCATGGAAATTTGTGAACATTCAAGTTACAGGGTTAAACAGCCAAGAACAGCAATGAAGGAGGAGAAGTCCATAACCAGTATTATTCTGGAGCATCTAACAAGCAGTGTCATAGGTGAATAGAAGTGGTTAGCCAAAGAATTCTCACTGGAGCCGAACAATAATAGGGAGGTACTAGTAGAGCCTAATGCTGGGAACAATAGATGGCAAAAGAAGAAGGGGACGGCAGAGGATGAGGTGGCTAGATAGAGTCACTGAAGCAGTTGGTGTGAGCTTAGATGGACTCCGGGGGATGGTGGAGGACAGGGAGGCCTGGAGGAATGTTGTCCATGGGGTTGCGATGGGTCGGACATGACTTCACGACTAACAACAACAACTAAGCTGGGTCTAAGTGGTCAGTATGTGAGAAGCGTGCCATCCATTTAGGAAAAGTATGTTTGAATCCCTGGTTGACCTTACTTCTATCTAGCCAACATAGTCTGTGGTAATGGAGGTAGGACTGTCTCAGTGCTAAAGAGGGCCATATTAACCTGGCACCAAAAAGATGACAAATTTGGTGCCAGCCAGGTTGCAGCAGGGAGGGTGTTTCATAGATGGTGGGCCACCACAGAGAAAGCCCTGCCCCTTGTTGCCTCCTTCCATGCTTTCCTTGGAGTTGGCACTCAAAAGCAGGCCCCAGAGGTTGAGATATGACGGTCATTGGCTGTATGAACTGGGCATTAAATATCTCCAGTTTTGGCATCCATTGCCATTCCTAGAGATACATATACACAGATACACATCCTCCTGGCTAGCAATAATAGCGGTGCTGCCTCTGAGGGTACAAAACTACATCTCCATATACACAATGGAGGAAAGACGTGATGAAGCATACACATCAAAGCATGTAAATGCAGCCTATCAAGGGATACCCCTATTCCTTGTAACTTCACACTTTTAAATGGACATCCCTTTTGCTTTCTTCCATCAATTGTACTTCTGCCTGGATCCTAGCCTTTGAACTTGTAAAGAGTATGTGCTTTAGGAAGAGAAGTTTCTTTTTCCTGTTTTATCATGAAGCTTCTATGGGCTTTTGCTAAACAGGAGCGTCATCAAGAGCTCTCTGCTTTCTGCCAGTGTATTGCAGCAGCTGTGGGCAATTAGCAAGGCTGATTCCTCACCTCACCAAGGGCCCTGCACTGCTACGATTCTCAAGAGCCGATGTTGAAGCCAAACTCTTGCATTAGGTTAATCAGCAGTAAAGTGCTGCCTGCCAGAGAACCAGCAAAATGTCTATTAGACGAACCCTTCCCCTCACCCTGTAGTCCTCATACTGTGCAAACTGAAAGCTCTGTGTGCAGAGAAATAGTATATACTGTTGACCTTCAGAAAACCACTGCAGCAGCTTAGTTATCTCCTTCTGAAATCAAAGGCAGCTTTGTATAATTGGCTAGGTCAAGGCTATGGTTGTACAGAAACAAATAAGGTATCAAATTAAAGAACACACAGATTTGCCAGAAGATAGTGGTTTGCCAATATGTCCCAAATCAGATAAAATTGACAAGAGAGAAAACAACCCGTACCCCCAGCCTCCCAGACCTGGAGAAAAATGCAGGGCACATTGTTTGAATCCTCTGTAGCGCTAGACTGTTGATTATCTGCTTATGGTGGTTCTGCCCAGATTACATGTCAAGGAATGGTTTGTGACTGTTCCAGCTTTTCAGAGGTTTAAAAAATAATTGTCCGTGATACGCAAGACATCGGGCCAGCTCAGGATATGCGTTGGGTGGGTGAGGCAGGGGGAAGTAGGAATTAACAAAAGATTCCTATAAGGTCACAGCTCTGTCTAATCCAGTGCCCTTCTTCTCTTAATACCTCCATGAGGTGCACAGACTTGGCAGGAGAACAATCATCGTTCCCCACGACTGGTCTCCAATGGCATACCGCTTCTGAACCTGGATGCTCCTTAGAGCTACTCACCACTGATAAACCGAAATGGAGTGAATTTGTCTAAAGCCATTTAAGTTCATCATTATACCTTGGAGAAGTAGGAGAAAGATGGATGCAGCACTCTGGGGAGCGAACTCTCAGATGGGCCATGTGACTGGATGCATGATGAAGCGATACATGAATGGTGCGTGTAAGTAGTACAGACCCCTGCAAAGACCTACATAAAGGGCACATGTGAGTGAGAGGATGGCACAAGGATATGCTTGGTAGAGCTTGTATATGATAGTGAATACAGGGATGGACTCAGAGAGGGAATTTCCAATAAAAGGCACATGGACAAACTTCCACAGTCTCTGCATATAACCTTTCACAAACTTGTTTGGAAGGAATGTAGGGCCAGTATAATCAAATTGCCACTATGGAATAGAGACAGCATTGATGCAAGGTAAATCTAGAACATTGTACATAGACACTCAGTTAACCAACACCCATGAGGATTGGTAGATGCCAGGGAAATGTAGTTATGGTTGCTCTAGATTTACTATTAAAAATAGGCCTAGCTAATACTACATCCCATACCACACCATCCCATCCCATCCCATCCCATAAACTCTGTATTGATTTGATATTAATATTGAAATACAATAATTAAAAGCAAATAAAGACAAACTGCTGCCTTCTGAGACTGAGCCTTAATGTCATAGATTGTTGACAAACCTCCATTTAATTCCTTCATGAGGGCTGCTGCACTTCTCTCACCTTTCTCAAGCCTCTTGCATATTTCCATGCCTGAGAGTAAGGACTCTTGCCTTTATGCTCACTTGGGACCTTTACCTAACCTGCATGCTTGGGGTTAGGTGAGAACACAAAATCTGAATAGCAATAGATCCCAACCAATGTTTACAGGCAGGAGTGGGAAACAACCCTGGTGCGTGAAGCGTGGGCTTAGTCACAGCATGGCGCGTAGCAGCCAAGTTTAAACGTACATTTCTGTTGGAAATTGATTTTATTTTAATTTTTATTTAAAGTATTATTTATTTGATTTTTTTATGATTGCTTGAGAGTGCCAGTTGCTTGAATTCTGCTTAACGGAGAGTCTACTGTACTTACAGTATAACATCTGTATTCATTCCAATAACACAGGTAATATCTGTCTGTGATACTATTGCCATCTAAATGTGGTATGTTGATTTTAAACCTCTGTTTCATCCAGGATTATTAGGAAACTATACATTCAGTATTTTTCAGTTGCTTTCAGCACCCAGTGATAGAGCGCATCCATGCTGTGTGACGTATGGCATTGATATACTGCATTAACTGCTATATGATCACAGAAGTCAGCTTGGATAGAATCAAATGTTTTAAATCCATTTTACAAAATGAAAGCACATGGGAGGACATGCTGATTAAGATGGCCTATGGGCTAGCAACTTTATGCACAAATTAAGTTCACAATAAACTGTATGTATAAGTTGCTGAGGAGTAAGTCAGTTTGGGGGAAACTGGCCATCAGAAGCAAGAGAGGTGCATTAAGAGACCTGGAGTAAACCCATGATTTGCAGTAGTGTCTCCTCTCCCTCCCTCCCTCCCTCCCTCCCTCCCTCCCTCCCTCTCTCTCTCTCTCTCTCTCTCTCTCTCGTGTGTGTGTGCGTGCACAAACATGCACACACAGAACTTCCATGGGACAAAATGAAGCACAGAAAAATAGTTTGTATGAAAGCCACTGAGGTCTGTGAGTGCTCAATGGGCATTGATTGATTATTGGGGGAGAAAAATGGAGGAAGAGGAGGAATGGAGAAGCCATGGATGGCTGGCAGGAAGTCTGAGTAAGAAAACTTCTCACTGGAACAGTGTGTTGCAGGTCCCACTTGTATGGGGGGGCAGGGTGTCCAAGGCTGCACAAATAGCCAAGCAGTAAGAGTTAGGCAGGGTGTCTCATTCCTGCAGCTAACTTCAAGGGACAAAAACCTCTTTAGGAGTCTGGTTACTAACAAAATTTACTACACGGAACAATTGCTAACCTGCACTTCTACTAATGAGATTTATTTAACTGATTGTAAAAAAGGATTTCAGACCCAATATGTAAGGAAACAACAACAGACCTAAGTACAAGAAACCAGAACCACAGAACTGTGATTCATATCAAAACCCTAGGCCTATAGCAAGACATTTTAATCTCTCTATCAGACTGACAAAAAAAGGACACTTGACAGAAAGGAGAACTTCTAGATCTATAGGTTTTGCTGTCCTCATCCATATGCTGAAATACTTTTTTTCAGATCATGCTTGTGAGTCTCTCTAGCATATGTATGCTAAACAAACATGGTTTCAAATGTATGTATGTATTAGTGTTGCTCATTTCATGAAGGCAATTGTTGCTTCTGAAATTCAAGAGTCTTTGAGATGATGCAGCATCCTGAGGTTTGTAGCACAAAAAATGTGACTTTTGTGGAACAGAGAAATGATCAGTGAAATGTGGGAGAGGATTCCAGATAGGGTCTCCCAGTTCCCAGCCTCCACTGGTAGGGAAGATTCTGATTTTGGTAAATTCGTATTTGCTTTCTGTCTTGTCATGTGTTTGCCAACCCAATGAGGTTAGGTGCAACAGCTTAAAAAATGTAAACAAGTGTGGGACATCCCTCCCAACAGGAAAGAAGTGTAAATTGAGCATGTGACATGTGACTCGGCATGAGTCTGGGAAAGGATGCATTTACAAGCTTCAGCTGACATTTTCCAGCAAGAGACAGCATTTTCTGTTCCTTGAAAATTGACTTCATTCCAGTTTTTTAAAAAAAACTTTTAAAGTTATTTATTAGGAACAGTTTAGATTATTTCCAAAAGCAGCATCTTTCAGAAATCTACAACTAGACCGTAGCAATGGCATACCTGGTTATTATGACTTTAAAAGCAAACAGCACTCTGTCCTCTTTCATTAGATGAATATATGCTGCAGATCAGCTGATCTGGATCAGAACATGTTTTTTGAAGACTGAACACCAAACAGCTAAAGAAGAATCAGGCAGGACGCGGGTGAATCCTGTTCAGATGGGATTCCATGTGACGAGGGGAAAATATGTGATTTTCTGGAATCGGCTGTCTGGCCAAGAAAGAGATGATGCTTTCAGCAATCTTCAAAATGAAGAAAGGCTGCCTCAAGTGAGACAAGTTATTTGGCATAATAAATGGAGGATTAATAATAGCCAAGTAGTTGCTTTTCTTCACCATGACAGGGAAGGAGGCTTTGCGGGACACTTCTAGAAATGGGTTCCAGATGGGAACGCACGGCCCACTGTCCAGAACTTAATGTGATTTAGGGAGAGCATAACCAATACAAGGAAGGGGATGAGGCACATTTCTCAATCTAAGTACTGTCATGGTCTTGTTTTCTCCCTTCCCAGCTCTGTGCCTTTATTTGTTTTGGCCTTGGGTAGTCCATCACTTCAGTCCGTATTTCACAGATCAGGTGGCGTAGGGGGAATGGCCAAAGACGGTCCCTTTTCCGCTCTTAATCGAGTGATTAGAAAAAATGTACCCTTTTATGGCCCGATGGAAATCTCCACGATCACCTCATGGTAAACAATCTGTGACTCTCCTTTCAGCATCCTGGTTTGTGGCTCTTCTTAAGAGTTATATTGCTTGTCTTGGAGTGGGATGAAACAGGAGAGATGAAACCAGTAGAAATCCAGAGGCTTGTGCAGACTTTCGCTAAGTAGATGAGCTAAATCGGCAAGCCTGGCAGGAACAATCTGTTTTACATACGATCCCTCAGGGCATCTTGCTAATATACAAAACCAATTATTAAAAGCATATTAAGACCACAGGCCTACTCGCTTCCATCCCTACAACGCTGTTGCTCCACTGAGACTCCCTTTGAACTGAGGATCAGGGCTTGGCATCTGTGAATCTGTTGCAGCTCCACCAGGCCTCAGCTCTCCAGATGCCCAAAGACTAGATGATCGCATGGAAACCCCCCTCAGCAAGTAGGGAGCCCATTTCCATCCTGGCCACAAGGATGGTGGCCAGATTGCAGGAAAAGCCATATGAGGTGAGACTGGGGAACTGCATCTTTTCAGCCTGGAGAGACTCCAAGGGGATCCACTGCAGGAATACACCACGTGGTACCTCCCAAGCCCCACTCAGGATTCGAGGGGGGCAGCCCGTGATGGACCCCAGCTCTTCTGCCATGCACCCATTCCTTATGCCTCGGGCAGGGCTTGCAGAGGCAGCAAACTTCAGCAGGGAGGCCAAAGTGCCCGAGGTGCAGCTGTCATCAGAACTGCTTGGCCAGAGTGACAGGGTTTCCTGTTGTTCTTGCCAACAGGAAGTGGCTCTGTGGGCTTTAGGTTTCACCTGGGCATGTTGCAGCATCACAGGGGAGCTGCAAAACCCAACAAAAAGCCATGGTGTGTTGGGGTGGCTTCATAGCCATAAAGCTGCCACCCCACTGGGATGGGCAGTGGCTTTGAACAGCATGCTAAATGGTGGCTTTGAAGCCACAGTGGCTTAGCATTTCATGCAAATCAAGATTTTGCATACCAGTGGGGTACTGTGGGGAATACGAGTAGGAAGTTGTTATGTCTTGCTTGTGGGCTTCCCATTGAGTTATCTGGTTGGCCTGTTAGGGAGCAGAATACTGGACTAGGCCTTTGGTCTGATCCAGTGTGGCTGGTCTCATGAAGGACATGGAAAGGGGACAGCAAAGACAAGCCATACCTGCCTTATATAGTGCCACTTCACAGGATTGAAATGTTTTATTTATGCCCTGAGTTTACAACTCGTAGTTCAAGGAAGCACTAGTTTTCCATCTGGCAACCCTTGACTCATCTGAATTTATCCCCACCCCTTCCATCTTCAAAACTGCCAACTCTACTTTCTGGAACAGGTGCGCTGCCTGTTTAGGGGTAAAGCAACTTAGGAAAATTAACATTATTTTGTCAGATCTCAGACTCCAGTGTTTACTAAGATAAAACCATAGTGATACACCCATTCACACAAAATCAGACAACACACACAGCACTACATTGGAATGTTTGCATCCCTTGCAAAGTGATTTGGGGTAGAAGATGCCTCCAAAGTCAGAAAGATTTCCAGCACATGTGCATGCATAGATAAAAGGTGCATTTTGTGGAGAGACAGTTTGTGACAAGAGTAGCAGAGAAAATGGTCTGGGTGATTAATAAAGCCACTTGTGGATCACATAAACTGAGTCATGGACATTTCTGAGGATGAATTGCCCCACTAAGCTCCTGAAGCAGGCAGCAAAGTTTTACAATAATGGCAAAGACAATTGTTACACAAGCCCTGGTGTTTTTAAAAGCAGCTTTTCCTGTCTGCAACTAGGACTGCTGCTGGCTGGGATATCACTAGGTAGCAGATCAAAAAAGGGGAAGCCAACTGCTTAGCACAAGCCAAATTCTAGGGCTAAGGAGAAAGGTGTTAGCTAGCTAGCTTGCTTTTGTAGAAAGACTTAACTGGTCATTTTAAATTATTTGGGTGCTGGATGCAACCATGGGTTGTTGCTTGCAAGCCATTGTTCCTCTCACAAGTTTTTGCAGGAGAAATAAGCCAGATCTTTTAATTAATGGCAAGATTGGGGAAACTAGGAATGCTCCCCCCCACCCCACCCAGCCACTTTTAGGACTCCTAGTTGAGCATATTGGAATGAGCAGAGCTGTGGCAAGCTGTGGCTGTAGTTTGAATAACACTCACATTGTAAGGGAGGCAGAAATATCGTGCAACTGCTAGAGTTCAGCAATGACAAAATCAAGCTTCATTTCCACTAAGAAAACAGGTTCTAAAATAAACTGGACTGGATGCAGCTCAGTTAAATCCCGAGTCCAGCTACTGAGAGTTGGAAAATCTATTGCAGTTGTATCTGGTTTCAGTCACCATACTGATCATATTATGTCAGCAGTCAGGCAAAGTATAAAGAAAAATATTTTAAAACCAAGGAGTGTGCCTCCCCCCTTCCACCGCGGGCTAACACTCTTCCTTGGATGACAAATGGATGCTATTGAAGAAGGAAGTTTGAAATGAGGTTACAGGTCTCTTCTACATCCATTTCAATTAAGAGGCCAAATTACAGAACAAATGATGCCCTTTTATCAACATTGTTTTCACGGTTTAACCAGAGGAGAACGATGTGTTAAAATACGTGTCTTCCTGCATACTGTACATTCTGATACTCTTCACCCAGCCAATTTTCTGGCATTTTTCTCAAAGTCTCTGCCATTGATATTCCAATCGTCCATATGGGTACATTTACTCCTCATTTTTTTCCCATTTCCTTTTCTGGTAATAACCTTTTCTAAATCTAGCTTTTTTAGTCAAACAACTGGAGCCTTTCTAGCTATGCTGAAGCAGCCGACGCCTTCCAGGTTTGGCAATTACATATTTTATTGTTGGAAGAATCAAATCTAATGGTTTCCTTTTTCTTCAATTAGGAGTTTATATAGCACTTGAGATTTACTCCCAGACTTTTTCATTGGATGCTCAACACGGTATTGAAGACTTGGAGATGAATTGATTTTAAAGTTCTTTATTTCTGAATACTGGCATTCCCAAAAGTCATGTGATCAGTTCCAGAAAGTTATTTACTCGGTTTTGTTTAAATTGGTGGCATTGCAGTTTTAATAATAAAACTGGTTTACTTAGGGTTTTGCCAAATAGAAACAGTATCCTTTTATATGCAGAATATCAGATTTCACTCTCACTATTGGTTTAAAGAAGGCAACTGAATGAATGTAATGCAATGCCATGTTGAAGGACATTTCTGTTGAAAACGAGGCTGCCAAGGATCTTAGTCACAGTATCTCATTCAATTTCGTCACAGCATTGAGATAGGACTCTCCACAAAAAGCTCGTCTTTCCTGCTTTTTCGGTATAGAACCTCTAGGTGGTGCTGTGCCATAGCAAAATAGTGCAACCACACCAGGAGAAAGTGCAATCTCTTTCCCGTACTAATTTAATGGTTCATTTTCTCTGTTCTAAAACAACAACAGGGCACTGTTCTGGGAGAACAGAAGCAAAGGATCCTAATGTTGTGTATGAGCATGTCTACAATCATATATAAAGAATCATGAGTGCATGTGACCAGATTATTACTGCTCCAGTTTAACTGTCCAAGCTCTGATATCAGAGCTTTTTTCTGACCTCAGATCTTGGAACCCTAGCACCTTAATTAGGGTCCCCTGGATTGCTCTGACCAAGATTGGAGCTGAAAGCGATTGAAAACAAGCACTCTTCTCTGGCTTCATGTATTATTTGAGAGTAGCAGAAAGTCTTTTAAAAATGGCTCATTTTTCTAATGGCAGGTTAATTAATCATTGATCTATCGGGCTGTCAGTAATTAATTACATATGATTTGCAATATTTCAGATGGCAAAATCTCTATCAAGTAAAATACATATGTAAATAGATAGAAATCCTTATTTTTGCAATGTTTCAGGTGAAATATTATTTACTCTTATTGTATTTATATCTCGTTTTAATATTTAACACAATCTACCCCCCTAAAGATGGATAATGCATTATCTGGAAAGCACAAAAAAGAAAAAAAATGAAACACATGATCTGATTGTAAAAAGAAGATGCAGAGCTGTGAGCATCAATGGCCTGCCAGAAGCAGTAAGCAGCCAACCACTGAGAGCTCAGCATCCCGTCTGGGATCCAGCAGGGGTTTCAAAACAGGACCTAGGAACAGACAAGATGATCTTGGTGCTAACAAGCTCTGATCCAAGTCCTCCGGAATCAGCGTTGGTTATTGTGAATACAAATTTTCTTAAAACCTCTAGAGAAGCATCTGTAGCAATTATGGCCCCATGTTTTGAAAGGAACTTGTGAATGTTTGATGCATGGTAGGTGCAAGAGGACTGAGGTAAAGGCCAGGCACAAGACAGAGGGAAGTGCGGAAAGGAGGCATGATCTCCTGGTGGGATAGTCATGAAAGTGTAGAGAGTACTTCCAAAGAGGAGGGATCTTACTGTGCAGACAGTATGCAAGGTAGCTTTCCCCGATCTGATGCCCTCCAGATGTTTTGGACTACAACCCCAACTTTTCTGACCTTGGTCATGCTGGCTGGGGCTGGTGGGAGCTGAAGCCAAAGGTATAAAATGCACTAGTTGCTGCCCACT